TTTTTTTTTTTTTTTTTTTATCCCCTTCTAAGTCTTAAAATGGAGCACGAGGCCAACGAAACGCTGGCCGCGGAGTTTTCCGCGCTCCGAGGAACGCCTGGGCGTAGGGACGCCGGCCGCGCAACAGCCCGTCTCCCCCCGGGGATGCGCGGCAGCCGAGCCCGGTTAACCCTCACCCCCTCCACACACACACACACACACCCCCCCGCCGCCTCCCCACGCACACACAAAGCTGGCAACATGGCTACCACCACTCAAACAAGTTCCTCGCAACTTGAAGCTCGCCTCGCCGATGGCGCGGCGGGGAGAAGCGGCCCCGGTTCGGCGGCCAGGGCGGGCGAACGCCGCCAACTTTCCCCGCCGGGCTGGGCGAGAGCGGTTTTTCCGCCGGCGGCTCGGGCGCCGGCGAGCACATCCCTTCGCCTCGGCACGGCGATGCGGTGAAGGAGAAACTGTTAAATTGTAGGAGCAGGCCTGTGCAAAGTTTAAGCCTTAAAAGCCTTGCAACTAAGAGCCCGGGGTTACAAAATCCGTATCGGGAAAAAATCTACTCACCTTCCGACAGGTCCTCTATGCACTCAAATGTGATTTCGAATTGGAAAGGATTGTAGAAAGGAGAAGGATTATCCAACACCACTACATTGTTCACCTGAACCTTTGCCATATTTTGAAAAAAACACAAACAATAGGAAGAGCGTGTTAACGCAGCACAGTAAAGTCCCGTGTGTTGGTTTTTGGCGACGCACAAGCCCCCGTGCCAGCGTCTGAGCGAGGCCGCAGAGCTGCGACTTGCAGAAACTTTTTTTTTTTCCCCCCTTTTATTTACACCAGGCACACTCCACACTGTTCGCAGCTTTCCTATTTCACTAAACTACAGCCCATTCTGCCCTGCTCGCCGCCAGCGCCCGCCCGGATTGGCCGCACGCCGGCCTAGGGCCCTCCTCCCCGAACGCGGCCGCCGAGCGGCAGCAAGATGGGCTCCGCCGCTCCCGCTCCACCGACGGCGCCTGGCCGCGGCGCCCCCGCCCGGCCCGAGGTGGAAACGGGCTGCCAACGGCCGGGGCGGGGCCGAGGCCGGGCGGGCGGGCGGGGGCGGGGGCGAGGCCCCCGCCTCCGG